CACGGGCCTTCTCCACCATCTCGTTCAGGGTCTTGCACCCTGTAAAGCTCACAAACTCACAGATAAAATCCCTCAGCATGGAATGATACATCGTCCTCCTCATCTGCAGCATACTGCGGGATCAATAGTGCTCGTTCCTGAAACTTGGTGGTGATCTCCGCCAGAGTCTCGGTGGTCTGCTGAAGCTCTTGAAACTCCCTCACTAACCGTTGCACCTCGATAGGTGGTGCAAACTCCAGATCAAATCGCCTGACAAACTCGGCCCATGTCATCTCAGCCACACCGGCTGCCCCCACCTGGCTAGTCACCTCTCCCCACCAGTATCGGGCTCGATCTCTCAGCATACATGAAGCAAAACCCACCTTTGCCGCATCAGGGCAAGAACTCGTGCGATGGGCATTCTCTATGTCCGCCACCCAGCGTCGGCTAACTATGGGGTCCCTGACCCCAAAGAACTCCTGCGCCCCGCACGCCTTGAACTCCCAGAACGAGGGAGTTTGGGCCCCTACCTGGCCCGCATCAATCTCGGCTCTGAATGCCCTGAGCCTCTCCTCCATAATCTCTATCATCCCTTCCTTGACCGTCCCAAAAATCATTGGGGTAGCATCAAGGATGCCCCTAGTAACCTCGACTGCAATGAGCTCGCGCAGCCTCTCATCAATGGTCTCGGTACCGTCGCCCGACCCAGATCCGGATCCTGATCCTGATCCCCCTACTCTAAATTTTGTCACCACCATGCTGAACTGCAATGTCATAAATCATAATGATCAAGATGTCCAAAGAAGGGATCCTCCCACACTGGTTCTCCTTAGACCTTCCAGATCTAATCATCACTTTGAGTAAAGGTCCTGTGCTTTCAGTAGTACGGGCCCAATACTACCTTCCACACCTACTTGTACCTTCCCCAAGGTTCTACCTGATAACTCTATTTCGTCCCAGAACAAAACATATCTCATCAACCCAATCATAACAGGTTACCTTTATGCATGCAAATTATACACAGAAAAGGATCAAATAGACTTTAGAATAATAGACTCTACCCTAGGACCACAACCAGACAAGGAACAGGAAATAAGTCCAAATCAATCATTCTAAGGCTATAAGCTCCTAATTGTATATAATTTTAAAAGCATACACATAGCTAGATCCATACCATTATCATAACTCAAATATCAGTATAACATGGCTACATATTGGGGAACTACTTACTTGGCTCGGTCGATCACGCGCATTGCACTCTCCTTTTTTCCAGTTTAAGAAGTTTTTAACTTTTATTTTTGTAAACAATTTTACCATTTCCTTAGTTTGAGTCTTGACACACCCGAGAGTGTGCCCGAATTCCTCAAACCAAGGCTCTGATACCAACTTGTAACGACCCAATTTTCAAAAGAAAATTTTCAGTTTTAAATAGTCAAAAACATTTCCAATAAACCATAAAATCTCAAGTACATTTGTTTTCAAATTCATAACATCAACAACATTATTCCAAACATCAGAGTGTCCTATAAAAACGCCTGAGAGAGAGTGCATCCCACGTCATCAAGCCTTGCCCTTACCCTTAGGCTTAGATGTACCTGAAACAAATCGACAAACTGTAAGCTAATGCTTAGTGAGTTCCCCAGAGCATACCCCCACAATCCACATAATCACATAATCATATTAGTTATAAAAGCTACATAACCACATAAGCCATGCATACAAACATATAGGGAAGCCATGGAAACCCTCCAGGGTCTTACACCTAGTGCCACTGGAACCCCCACGTGGTCTTAACTACCTTCCATGGGAACCCACACATGGTCTTCCAGCCGTGGGAATCCCCACACGGTCTTCCTGCCGTGGGAACCCCCATACGGTCTTTACTACCAAGAATATCATACAAGCTAAACATGTGAATATACTAGAATGCCATGGAAACCCTCCAAGGTCTTACACATAAGCGCCTCGAGAACCCCCCGAGGTCCTTCATGCGAGCATCACAAATAACTAGCATACCATGTATCCCATAACCAACTCGTCATAACTTATAACAATAATGGGCCGGCCTTGGTGCCTTAGACCCATTGGTATGGTGAGGAGACTCACCTCTCGAGAATGTTGAACTGACAAGATAAGATCAGATAAGTCCTAATGCACAACTCCAACTCAACTGCCTATAATCATCATGTGATTAATTTGTCAAACTCCCGAAATACCATGAATACCCTCAAAGTCAAACCTGGTCAACAGTCCATGTTGACCCCAACTTGTCGAGTGCAACCCGCAACTCGCCGAGTTACCTGAGTAACTCGTCAACTCGCCGAGTTACCTGAGTAACTCGTCTAGTTCCTTAATGTCCAGAAGGCCAAAAACTCATGTAGACCGAAAACTCTAATCCTTCACCGAAATCACTCAGAATCTCGAAAACGGGTAAACCCTACCCGACTCGTCGAGTTGGCTAAGCAACTCGTCGAGTCCCGTCAGTCCTTTTTGTGTTCAGTCCTTTCCAGTGGAATCCAAGGCTCCAAATTACAGATCCAACCTCTTATGATGTAGTTACCACGTAAAGTTGCAAACTTTACGTGCATGCAAGGCCTCCCAATGCTAAAACACTAAAACTAGGGTTCAAACAACACTTAGGACATGGAAAAGGGATTAGACTAGGTAAAGGAAGCAACTTTATGTCATGAAAGACCTAGAGGTGTCCAGATCTGGAACCATATCCTAATGAAAAGTCCAAATCCGAGTATGACACCATTTTGCACCAAAAGTGGCCATATTCTTCCATAAGATGAGATCTAAGCAAAAAGAGATCAAGGTAGCAACGTTTTACCTCTAAATGGATGCTAACAACAGGTAGATGCCGGATCCAAAGCCTTCTCCTCAATTCAATCTCTTCAACCTTCAAGTTTCCTTCTAAAAAGCACAAGTTCCACTCTCCAAGACTCACACACACTCAAGAAAAAACCAAAAATGCAGCTAGGGTTTCTCTCTGGACTGTAAGAACAGTGAAAGAGGCTACAAATGAGCCATAAGTGCTTTAAATAGGGTACAAACCCCCTGAAAATTAGGGTTTTCCTTTACAGTGCCTACTCGTCGAGTCGGGGCCTTCCGACTCGTCGAGTAGGATCTACATCCCGCGTCCTCATAAATGATCTCCACTCGACGAGTTGGAGCTCCCCAACTCATCGAGTCCTAGCACAAAACCCTAAAAACTTAGAGAATTAAATGATACCGGGAACAGGAGTTACAAAAGATTTAACAAAAGACATAAAAAAATCGACTATCTATTTTACGTCAAGCAATACATGGAGTAAATCTGAGTATAATAGTAAAAGCAAGACGTGTAGGTGGATAGACTCATCAGGTTATCAATGAAATAGGATCCACACAAGGACTTTAACTTGCCATTCGTTGTTTGTTAACAACATCTCGAAAACATGCGGGTCGAAATATGGCTTTTAAATTTAGTTCCAAATTAGTAGATGTTATCAAAGGGAGTGGCGATGTCATACACAAAAGGGAAGAAACTCATAGAATGGCAGGCAGAAATAGAGTTTTTGCACATTTTCGTTAATCCATGAGCATGATCTATACTTCCCGACCAGAAATGAATCGAGAGAAAAAGAAAGAATCAGAATTGATAGATATATTTCTCGAAACAAACGAAAAGAAACAAAAGATGAAACATAAATCATGGATCAACTAAGCCCTCTCAAAAACTTTCTTAAGAATAAGAAAGAAGAACCCTATGTAAATACCATGAAATAAGGTTTGATCATATTCATGGAGATTCCATAAATATTCCATTCCAAAAATGGAAGCAATTAGGATTTTTTTAGATAGTTGATGCAATTACTAATTTATGCTCTGGTATGTACATAATGAAAACTTCATTCTCGATTCTACGAGAATTTTTATGTAAGTCTTTCATTTGTTTGTCTTCGATGGAAGTTTGATTTTCCCCGAATGTATCCTAATTTTAGGCCTAATTTTTTTTTTCTGATGATCGATTCAACCTCTGATCAAAAAGATATACATTGGGTTATATTTCATCTCTTCAACAAGTTTAGTAATGAGCATAATGTCCCTTTTGTTCTGATGGAGAGAGGAACCTATGATTATCCAAACGAACAATTTAAATGACATCTTTCAGTTTCTTATTATTGGTGGTGTTATCATTTTCTTTGTTGCAATATGTAACTGTAAACCTTGTTTTTTTTTTTTGCCCGCGGTTAATTCTTTGCTTGTCGTTGGGCTTTTAATCAATGTTTTAAAAACCGTTTTTTTGGTGAACCGGTATCATGACCGGTTTCCAGTTCGACCGCCGGGTCAACTAGTTTCTATATTTTTCATGTTTTTTCCTATTTTCCTACATATACATACATAAGTTGTAGATGAATCCAAATACATTAAAATAACACATAACCATAAGTTTTAGTGTTTTGCATTAATTCATATACGTTAAAAAGAAAATAAAGTATAATACCGAAACAAAATATAGTTTTAGATGAGTACAAACACATCAAAAAATTTTATAACATTTACCACATGTTTTTATTTTGAGAAAACTAAATAAATTTAAAAAAAATCACTAAAGTTTAATATGTAAAAGTGTTTCTTTTTCATTTGTTTTTATTCGGTTCAACCGGTTTATTTTGACCAGTTCAACCGAGTTTTTCTAAAAACTGTCCGGTTCAATCCTGTTTAGAAGTCGACGTAAAACCGATGATAGTTAAACCGTTCTTCCCCGGTTTCCGGTCCAACGGGTTCGACCGTCCAATTCAAACCGATTTTTAAAACATTGTTTTAATATACATTCGCTTTGCCTTTTCAAAAAAAAATATTATTGCAGAAAATACGATGTCTAGACTTAAATTCTTTTATAATATTAAATTGTATGAATCATTTTCGAAAAGAAACGCTTTAATCGGTAAGATATTAAAGTCGAAAATATAAAGAAATGAATGTGGTGAGTAGGATCCTACTAGATTACACGTTGTAAAGCGGAATAATCTAGAATGAGAGAAAAGTATAAAAAAAGACAGCTCAGTAGTCCGTAGTTATTCCCCAGAATAGAAATTCACAACAAGATTCTTACATACCAAACAGCTCGCCCCAAAAGCGCAGAGAGAAACGCGGTTTTTCAGCACACCTCCACATCATAAGGTACTCTTCCTTCTTCCTCTTTCTCTTCCGCTTTAATCGTTTCGATCTGCTATTGTTTCGTTTTTTTTTCTTGCTTTTCGGGATTATTAGTTTCATTTTTTGTTGTTTGATTCCCTTTAAGCAATAATCGCTGTTTTTTTTTTTTTTTTTCAATTTTCATTTCGTTTCATGGATACGTGAAGTTGATTTGCAATTAGATTACGGTTTCGTTAATTTATGATTAAGACATTGAGTTTATGCGTTTTGGATAGAAAACCTGGGAAGAAACCATGGATTTTAGGGCTGTAAACTTTAGTTGTCCTGGAAACAGGATTTCGACCTCTTCTAGGATAAAAACATTGACGCTCTTGTGATTCACATTATCGTAATATACGGGAAAACAACGGCACTTTTATCATTTTATTGAACTATACACACGTTACTAAGATAAGAATTTTGAGATGAAATGAGACCTGCAAGAAAAAGCATGTAATGAAATCAATTAAACAATATTCATCACAATAATGTTCCATAATTTGACTTCATTATGGTACAAGTTATGTGAAATCAGATATAAACAAATATTATTGGTAGAGATGATCACTTAGGATTTAAGCATTCCAAATTGAGTTGTCCAAGTCCGCTGTGTTTTAATTCTTTTACTTCAATGGAATGAAAAATTGCAATATATAAACCCATATTTATTGTCACATTTTTTTTTCTAATTTTTTTCACTATTTAAAAAAAAGCTACAGGAAGATCGTTGGGCATTATATGGAGGAGGCTTCTTTAGAAGTTACCAGGGAATCTCTCATCGCACTTTCTTGCTGCGAACCTGAAAAAATTATCGAGTCAACTCAGCCTGAAAAACCAAATGGCCAACACAAAGCTGCATCTGCCGTTGATGAACTCAGATTAAAATTGATATCGATTGCTTCCGAGCCCCCATCTATGAATTCCCCTCCCAATGAGTTTTAGGTTTAAAGTTATGAACATATATAACAATTATTATGGTACAATTTTTTATTTGATGTTTAGTTACTAGTTTCATACACCTTAAGGCCCAAGGCCAATGGTCTATCATGTTTGATGATACTTGTGAATGTCCCAAAATGTACAATACTTACAATTACTACAAAAATCATCCATCCATTATCCTTCGTTTTGCATGTTTTATCTTTGGAAGCTTATTTATACTTTTCTTGTTATATTTGGCCACAAGACACGGCCTAAGTAGCATTTGAATGCGTTTGTTGCTATGTTTGTTACGCAAACTTTTTAGGATATTTTTTTATATTAATTCGGTTGGACAAATACTTGTAGGTTTTGTTCAGTTGACGTCAGTCAGTGTTCTCAATCTTATTATGTCCTTTCATTCCGATTTTGCGTTAAATTTCTGTTTCATATTTTTTATATTTATGTTTGTTTTTGTTTTTTTGTTTTTGTTTTTTTTTTTTTTTGAAATTTTGAACTGATAATAATGACGAGGGAGTGATTCATGATTCATGTCTTTGTGCTAGCGAAAAAGTTCGAATACAAATTTTGTCCTATTAACATTTCTTCAAATAATATATTCTTAATTTTTGTTCTACAAATCTGTCTATCCTATTATCCAATTAAATATTGACATTAGTGATATGTATAACATTTAATACTCATTTAATGATATTTTAATATATTAATATGATACATGTTATCGTTTAATTAGATAGAAGAATTTATAAGAATAAAATAGGAGGATTTAATTTCTCTTACATAAAACATGATAAATGTTAAATAGCATTTAGATTGAATTATATGCTAAACGGTTGCAAATGTTATAAAACGTTGTGGATTATGTCATTTCTAAAAATAAATAAAATTGTTTAAATATATTTAATATTATTATACTCGGCTCTATGTTATCATCTGCATTGTGGGATTGTATTTTACACCAAAAAGTTAGATAAACTATCTGATACATTCGGATATTAAAACATATATTTGCGATATAACCCATTTATTTACAATATTTGAAGATGTTACATGGAAGCTAGCGATAAAGTTCTTGAAGTGTAATTGTGTTTTAGCAACATGACATGTCGTATCACGGATCATTTGGAACCTAAACCCCTCAAGCTTTCGACTAACATTTAATTATATTTTATTAATAAAATTTCGAAAGGTCATATTGGTTTTGATTTTGTCTTTAAAACAAGTACTTATGATTTTATTTTTTTTTGGTGTGAAAAGTCTCTTTAGAACAAACCTTGTACATCAATGGTACTTATTACTAACTTTGTTTAAAGATTATGTTAAACGTCTGTGAAATGACAAAAAACCCATTTTTTTTATTTTCTTTATATTTATTTTAATATTTTTTTAATTTAAAGAAAAAAAAAGGAATTGGGCCACCTCTCTCTCTCTCTCATGTTTGCAAAGGGTTTTCAAAAAGATTAAAATGTGATTCCCTCTCCCGTCTTTGGCATGGCTAATTAGATAATCTCCCATAAAAGAAGAAGAAAAGTGGAAAAGGGTTTTCAGAGGTTGAAGATCATGGAGAACCGGAAACAATTACGTTGATTGAATCAAGTAAGGATAATATTTTGGATATATGGAATTCGACCAATCTCCTCTGTATTTGACTTCAACTGTTCAATTAAAAGGAATTCACTTTTTGGGCTTTTGGGTTTTGTATTATCTTCATTTTAAAATCTTTGAATCTGGGCGTTTTGGTCTTATTCATCCCCAGTATAGTAGACTCGCCCAAGCATCGATGAACCCGTACCACTGTGCATTAACAACATAGTATTCATTTTTAGTTTTCATCTCTCTTTCTCACCGGGTTTCAACCCCATCAGTAAAGATCGATGGTTTTGATTTTGAGAAGCAGTAAACAATGTTCATGGTGAAGAAACAAGTAATTCGCGCCAATCTTCACAAAAATCTCGTGGTAACACTCATTTGGTTCATCGAGGGTGAATAGGGAAGGTAGAAAAGCTTCGGGGTAAAGAAGGGAAGAAGGTGGAAATTGCTTCAAGGGATACTAACTTCCTGTAGCACCCGATTCCTGGTACATATTTAATTTCATTGAAATGTTACAATTTACTCTAGGACTCGGCGAGTTGGAGGCCCAACTCGTCGAGT